CAACAAATCTTAATCTTCAATTGGGTTCTCTCCTTTTTAAAAAAAAAACAAATAAAAATAAAAATGACCACGTCCAGACTAAATCTGTGGTGTTTTTGTTTTTGTCTCCGTGGTCTGCAAGAAAAACAATTTAGAGATAGAAAGAGTTGTGGCAATGAAAAAGAAACAAATATAATAGAGATCAGAGAAATGTGGATCATTGATTATGTGTCTATCCTCTCTCCTCACTCTGAAACCTTTTTATATCCATCACGGATCCCTTTTTTTTGCCTGACGCCTCCTTCGTTGCCCCTGCATCTGTCAGTTTCGTTTAGAACAACATCACCCTCTCCGCGTAGATTTTTCTCTCTGATTTGCCTTCTTTTTTTCTCCTTCCTCTCTCTGTTTTGTACTTGTTTTCTCTTCTATGTAATTAAAAGAATGATGGGAGAATGGGAGGAAAACATGCGCCCGTTAAAAATACCAAAACACCTTCCACAAACCACAGAGCCATCCAACAGGTTGAAGTACATAATTATTACTACACTATTAAAATTCATAATGAAATTACTCAGTCCACAGTACACCCATTCATTTAGCACTTTTAGTTTTTTTATAATGTTCAATACCAATATATAAAATTTAGGCAGCGAAATAGATACAAACTGGAATTTTAAAACCACTAAATCTCAAGGTATCCCTATGCCATAAATTATTTTCTGCGTTGCACAGCTTGCGGGAGCAAGCATATACATGCAATTACATAGTTTTTAACTATTGATGGAGCTTTCACAAGGTTCGGGAAACCTCACTTGCTGGTGAGACCTGAATAATCTGTTGGTGTATATGGTATAAACAAGTCTGCTAAAAGTCCTTTCTTTCTTCTAGGATTATATCCCATGTCCTTGCAAAGCTGGTCATTGTAATATATGTTAAAGTTACTAATACAAGCTCTCCTGAAGTAGCGGCCTGTAACTTGTCTGATGTGATCTGCCCACATGTTTGCTTCCTCTTCCATGTCTCTTATACTTGGCAATTCAAGGTTGCCATCGAGGAAATGTGATAGCCATACACTTTCGATTTCAGAGCGATCCAAACTTGAGAAATTCTCACTGTATCCTATTATAGCCAATTGAGGAATTCGAGGATGAATTATTTGTCTGCAGAAATGACAAAGAGGGTGTCATATTAATGCTAACCATGCAATATCAAGCTAGATGTTTGTATTCATTGATCACTTTAAAGGACATACAGAAAGAAACATGGCAAGAAATATGAAGTTAGCAGACCTGTAGAGGGAAACTGTAGCGGTAGGTGACCCGCTTATGTAGTTTTGGAAAACTGGAGACTCAAAAATGTTTTTCAGTTTTTCATCACCCCTGAATCCTGTAGCAAAAATCACAAGATCAGTCTAAAATGGCCGATTTTCTCCATTTATAATTAGACCTTCTGGGAAGAAGCTTAAGCTTTGTGAATTCTTGATAATTATGCTTCCTTCTTCAACTCTGTCATAGAATTTCTCAGGCAGCATCGCAATCTGACAGGAAGATATATCTTCAAGAAAGCTGGATTTTGGTAACATTCCATGCTTCTTCAGAGGAAGATTCCATCTAAGGTAGATCTCAATGAATTTTGAAATTCCCCATCTCTGAAAATCAAGATACTGGCATCATAATTGAGAGCAAATCACACATATATAACATTCATGGACAAAGGCAATTGCGAGAGTGAAAAAGAAGTTTCCAAGGGTGCAAGTTAGGTGGCCAGAAAACTTAATAGAAATGTTTCACCAGGTTTATAGACTAACAATTCCGAGAATCGATTGTAGCACAGGAAAGCAAGCAGAAGTCCACCCAAGTTGTCACAGGGAAAAAACCAGAGGGCATTCCTTTGAATCATTGTGCAAGGGTACATAACTCCTGAATGATTGATTATAATAAGGCTGTTTGAACTTCGAATGACAACGAAGCAGAATTCTATGAAACATTCTATTCACTCATTTAACTAAATCCAGTGGATGTTTTGAACATCACAGACTTTATTGCTGATTAAAGTAAAAGTCTTTCTGATTATCTGATAAAAGACTTAAATTAGGAATATTTGCTTGCCAGAATGTTTTCTTACCATTGCGTTGGCACATTCTGCTGCTATGTCAACTGCAGATTTATGAGAACCAACTATTGTAATTCTCTTTGTTTTGATCAATTCTGCAGCAGTTGAATTGTCTAGGGCTGAGAAGTCTTCTGAATGCATCACCTTGCCCTTGAACTCTTCAGGTCCTTGATTTGGAAGGAACTCTGGAATATTTGGAAGGCCACTGAATTGTCCAATGCATAGAACTACAAATTCAGCATGATACAACTGACCAACATAATTCAACAGTGATTTACTATTTATATATGTATAAAAGAAATAGCCACGACAATATAGAATCTTTCAAAAAATTAACATACTTGTATGCTGCAATTTTTTGTGTCTTGAACTTTGACATGCCATTTCCCCTTGGAGCCAAAGGACTTGCCTGCCCCCCTCCAAAGAGGCCATGAATCCATCTCTTCGTTAGACTCTCCAAAATACTCTATACATTAGACCTTGGAATTGAACATGATGCATGGAAAGAAATTGAAATGTTGTGCATAAGATTCCAGATACTCCATCACTTGACTGTGAGTGGGATACGTGTTGTTTATCGAGGAAGGCCATGGAAAATCAGAAAACTGGTAAATTTCTTTGCTGTTTTGGAGTCTGGTTGACTCTAGAGTATGTGACCAAACTCCACCAATTCGTACTTCAGCTTCCAACACAATCGGGTTGAGTCCGATTTTGAGTGTGTTCTTAGAAGGCCACTTACTCCTGATCCGATGATTCCCACTCGTTTCTCTATTAGTCCACTCTGAGATCCGTTTAGGGTCAGGGCATTAAATACTATTTCGGTCTAAGAAGCCATCAAACGGGCTTCAGGAAAATCATCTAATAGCGCGTTCTTTTTTGCTTCTATGGATAGGTCGGTCACCTTATCCAACTAATGTCGACCTTCATATAATATCTTTCATCTCAAACGGCCACCATCTTGAATGGCTGGGCTTGTGGGGGGTCAGAAGTGGTTGATCGACACCTTCATGTCTTCAAATAAGACACCATCATTTCTTCAAATAAGACACAAAGCTCACGCTACTTTGTTTCTGAGTGTAAGGCATGTAGGCGGAGGTTGTCGGTATGGATGTGGGTAGTTTCTAAGCAGCCCATAGTTAAGTATTGGGTCAGGTAGGTGGCCCAAACAAGAAAATGGACCGGACTATCCTGCCAAAATAAGAACTTTCGAGTTTTTTCGAGTTTTCGAGTTTATATTTTAAAATCAATATTTAAAAGAATTTACCTTTTATCATTCTAGCTAGCTTCTTGGGGGTAACTTTTAATAACCAGTTAGCTTATAGAATGATAGTATGTATAATAGATTACTTCTAAATATAAAATTTAATTGCTTAATTTTTTTTAAATATTCCCTATCATATACAAATTTTATTTTTTTATATAAAATATACAGAAATCTTTCCATTTTACTCGAGGTTTGGTTATAAGTTGAACACGTTGATTCATAAATAAACAAATCGATTTAAATTTTGATTTTTTTTATCTAAATTAATATTATTTTGATAGAAATAATAAAAATTTTCATTAATATAACCTAAATCAAGCTTGGATTGACCTATTAGATTATAATAATTTTAAAATTAAGTTATTTATTATTTTTTTTGCTTATATGATACAATGATTGAATGAAAACGGTGCTTTCATGCAAGAATTTTATACAAGTTATTACAACATCATAAAAATTTGTGATCACATACAGTATGGGATTTGATGATTGCATAAGAAAAATCAATCTTTTTCTTAATAGTCTTCTAGAAGCATGGCCATTTATTGGCCTATATATATATATATTTGTTGTTGCTTTCAAGCAATAAATTAGCACAAAACTTGAGACGGCAAGGCCAAGATGGCATCATTAGCATCGGCCTTTGCTTAGTTGTTTACAGGATCAAACAAAGAAGTCTTGGCTCTTTTTGGTTGGAATTTGGCAGATAAATTATCCATCTCAATATGCTAAATTATCAGCCTTAATTAATTGCTAATTAAGTTTAGATTAGTGATAAAATATTTACTAAAGGTTCATGTCATTCACGATTGAACCTCGCAGCAAGAGCTTTCTCTGCTTCCAACAATTTTGTTTTCTCCTCCTTGTTCTTAAATTCAATCGTTCTCAATCACTTTAGTTCGAAATTAAGACCTAATATTAAGAGTAATTTATCTTTAGAATGAAAATTTTTATGTTAATTTATTAATAGTTCAGTCCTTTCTTTAATTTTTATGACAATTATAGTAATTTATCTCTATAAATTCGACACTATTTTATTCTTGTTTTTTCATCTACTTATATTTTAGATCACATGCAAGTATATATTATTTATACTCTTACAATTATATTCAATTTATTATCTATAAAAATTTCAATTCTTACCAAACATCCTTAACACTTCACTTCTTTATACTTTTCTCTCACGTTAACATTTTACCTTTAAATCTTACTCTTTATCCCCGAATTTTAACTTCATATGAACATAATTTTAGGAGGATAGTAATTAAATTAATATAATTTAAATTTTAGTCATCACTTCCTATTTTATTTATTTTAATATGTTTAGTATTGTATTTGATGTTGTTATATGGAGTGTTTTTAGCTTGAAAATATATTAAAATAATTTTTTATTTTTAATATCAATTAATTAAAATCATTGAAAAACCTAATTTTATGTTTTTTCATACTAAATATATTTTTAAAACACTATTTCAAATAACAAAACAAATAAACAGTCTTTAATCTTTTTCATTAATCTTAATTAAGGACTTGGTGTTTTGATAGAGGATAAAAAAAAATATCCCTAATAATAATATAATTATTTGAGAGGTCCACTTAAACTAAAATTGTCCCCACCATCTCCACAAGAATTTGAACAAGGAAGACTCCCCTTCCTCATGTCTTTGCCTCCACACAAGAAACCACGCACATAAGAAAGGAAAAAGGTCAGAAATTTTTCGAAACGTATTCAAATCTATCATTGCAATGGCTTCCAATGCTCTTCATCACTCTCTTCACCAATCTATATCTCTGAAATATCCTCATCTTTCTCATAATTCACTATTCTCTCCCTCTCGTCTTCGTTTCACCTCCCTCCGGTTTCCCTCTACAATTCGCGCCACTTCAGCTGTCGTTCTTGAACCGGTAACACCTTCATCTCTACTTTCTCTCTTTTTACTTTTTTATGGGTTATACATTCCATTGCTTTCAGTTTTTGTTTTACTACTAAATTACCATAGCCACTAGAAGTTTTTCTTGAAGTGGAGTATTTTATCATAGATTTTTAACGCCTTTGAGATATGACAGTGAAGCACTGGTAAAGGGGTTGTTCTTGTTTGGTTGCTGAGAGAATTTTTATTGTCAAATGTCTTTTTTTTCTTTCTTATTCTGGGTTGTTTTTTATTCATTAATTGAGGCGATGAGAATGTCATTAGGAATAAAATGGTTTGTTTAAAAAGGTTTTAGTTGAAACTGGCATTTTATCTGGGAAAATAGGAATGCTTGTTTGGTTACCGAGAAAGTTTTGAATTTTGAATGTAAAATTTCTCAATGAGGACCTAAATGGCTAAACTTTATGGAACTAGCTCAATAGAATGAGTTAAATGAAAGAAAAAATTAAGGGGCAGTGTTTAGTATTTGATGGATCTTTTTTATAGCGTATACAGTATTGAGTGGTCACATTTGACACCAAAAGTTTTCTTGACCCCTCCTACTTTCACTAACGCAGGGTGGCTTTCATTTCTGTTTTAGTGGAGGTTAGACAGAAGAAGGAGAATTGATTAGTTATTCTATTCGGTGCACAAATTCTCAAGCTAATATTGATGCCGGCTTGTTTTCGAATAAATTTTAACTGGTGGCTTTTAGGTTCATCGTTCAGCACGCATTCATTTATTTATATTAAATCTGAGGAGTAATGATTTTAGGTGGCGGTGCAATAGCAAGGGAGTAACTTGCTTAAAGCTGCTGTTTTTTTAGTTCTGTGGCTTAAGCAGAGTTGTTTGCTGGCAACAATTCAAAACTTTGCTGTTTATCCATAACTATGTTAAGATAATGCTCCTCCTATTGCTACATATGTTTCCTCCCATTGTTGTATATTGGATTTGACAAGAATTTAATCTTCCAGGAGTTAAGCACACAGCAGAATCAAGCAATATTTGCTTGTCCGGTTTGTTATGAACCTCTAATAAGAAAAGGTCCTCCAGGTTTTAACTTGTAAGTTGGGTCACATGATGATATAAAAGCCTTTTCTTCTTTTTGTTTGGAATTGTCTGATATGGTAATAACTGCAAAACCTGCAGGCCTGCAATATATCAGTCCAGTTTCAAGTGTAAAAAATGCACCAAAACATACTCAAGCAAAGACAACTATCTGGATCTTACAATTACTGCTGGAATGAAGGATTACACTGAAATCAATCCAGTTAGGACCGAGCTATTCCGGTATACATTTGGTGATGATGGTGCCACATAATCATGCTCTGTATATTGATGCATCCAAGATGTACTTGATCAATTCAAATTGGTGCATTACTGCGCATGCATGCATAAGCTTACAGGCCTTTCAACCTTGAATTAATGTCCATCTCACGCCTATGTAGCATTTCATGGATCTGTTACTGTTAATTATATGGAGTACCCAATTTTGGTTTTGACTTAAGAAGGAATAAAGAACAATGGAATGCATTTTGAAAATCGGAATCAGATTTTATTGTAAAACTGAATTGTTTGAGGAAATGGTCATGCTCATGCTCATGTCAGTTACTTTCATCTTCTCAGGAGTCCACTTGTTTCATTCTTGTATGAACGAGGTTGGCGCCAAAGCTTTAATCAAAGTGGATTTCCTGGTCCTGATGAAGAGGTTTGTGTTTCTTGGTTTGTTTCTAGGAATTCAAATACACCAGTTAGGCATGAAAGTTTAATTAAGCTTATCTCAAAAGATTAGTTTGAGCAAATATTACTAATGGTTTTATGAAATCTTTCTATGCAACATGGTAACTTGGAACATTGATATATCCCATGAAATGGCATTGGCATCTCGGAAAATGGGAGTAATTAATATCATTCTCATTCTTCCCCTCTTTTGAAACTGCTACTGAATTTGAAAACATGAACTTGACTTTGTGATGGTTTCTCTAATGCAGTTTGAAATGGCTCAGGAGTACTTCAAACCTGCCGGAGGGGGTCTTCTAGTAGATGTAAGCTGTGGCAGTGGCTTGTTTTCTAGAAAATTTGCCAAATCTGGAGCATATTCAAAAGTTATTGCACTTGATTTCTCTGAAAACATGCTTCGTCAGTGCTATGATTACATCAAGCAAGACGATACTATCTCAACTACGTAAGCTTCTTTTGCCTGACTTGAGTCTCAAAGTTACAATAGCTGTTACGTGAGAGTAATTATAATTTCATAACTATAGTTCAATTTGAAATGAGGATTGACAATTTCTTTTGCTGGAGAATGTGCAGAAATCTTGGTCTTGTCAGGGCCGATGTTTCGCGACTTCCATTTGCATCGGGTTCAGTTGATGCTGTACATGCTGGTGCTGCCATGCATTGCTGGCCATCTCCTTCCAATGCTGTAAGTGATCTTTCTTTCTTTCGTTTCTTTTGTGGATTTGATGGGATAAACTTCCAGATAAACCAGTCCAGTCTGGTTTGCAAGATCCAAATTCCACTTGAATTTGGAAAAAGGCACTGCAATCTTTTGTCTATCATGATTTGTGACTTTGATGTCCTTATCCTGATGCTGGCTTGATCTTGTCCCTCATGCTACTCTCTTAGGGCCATCTCTTATGCATTGACCATTGACGTGTAAGACACCATGTTATTATATGCTGTGAGTTAAAGAAAATTCTAACCTCATGATGTGAAATTGACGAGAGGATGGGTAATACAATGCTTGAAACTAGTCCTTTATAAGTTACAAGCTTGATTGTGATGTGGTCAATTCCTGTCACGTCTAAACCATCGAGGACTTCATCAGGGTTCAGGAAAACAGTAGTTTAATGTGCTTCATTGCACCAAAAGTGGAAGCAAAAAGAATATGAAGTTCAATACGCCACTTCTTACTTGACCATACTTGAAAAGGGTTTCAAGTCATAACCTACCAAAACTAGGTGTAAAGAGGCATGGAACACTGAGTAGATTGAGTCTCCAGGATAAGAGTTAAAAAAACGAAAGATTGTAGTCGTGGCTTTTGCCTTGCAAAGAGCTGAAGTAAAGGACATCTTCTCTAGACCTCAGGATGTTTGAGATCTCAATTCCAGATATTTTCTCTAACAATTACTGCCGCCACTGAAAACACACAACACACAGATTGCAAATGAAAAACATTATAACTTGCTGAATATGTAAGTTATCACCTTTTGTTTCAGAATCTACTAGATAGTGTCAGACAACAGTAGTCAGCCTCCAATCTTAAGACATAAGGCGTTTACATCTGTGGGTTTGTGAAAAATATTACTTGTATCTATAGGGTGACACAGTCAACTACCTTAGGTGCCCATCATGTGGTTCTCCACTTTGGTCTCATGGAACTAATAACAACGTTCTACCAGTGGCAAGGCAGTGCCTATAGCACAAGATATCAAATTATATGCAAAACATTTGCATTGCTTTGATCAATTCCAGCAAGTATCTTGGTTCACTGGCTATGTTTTGGGAAATTGTGTAGAGGTGGTTTGTTATGTCATCAGCAAGTAGGTTCCGTGGCGTCTTGTCCTGAGAAGTACACATCATAAATCCCTCTCCCAAGTTCTGTGTTTATGTGTGTTTTACTGCTTTCTCATCATTTGACTGTACGTAGAATTATTTTATGAACCTGCTGTTCAACTAGTGACGTATCTAATAATGTCAGGTTGCTGAAATTTGTCGTGTATTGCGAAGTGGTGGAGTTTTTGTCGGAACCACTTTTCTTCGATATAGTTCAACCACTCCCCGGATAGAACGACCATTCCGAGAGGTAATTAGCTTTTTCTCCTTCATTTGATTATATCATAGTCATAGAGTGATAATTGCTGAGAGGATTAATTACTATGCCTAGGGATACTTCCTTTTGGCTTTTGATTTTATGTGCTCATGTGTTTGTATATTTAATTGTTAGTAATTCAGAATTGCTCTCACCCAAGCTGGAAACGGTGAAAGTAACTGTCCAAATTGAATTTAGTATGTGAATATTGCAAAGGAAGCAGCAGTAAAGCAATGAAGTACTAGTGTTTTCAAGTTTCTACAAATTTCGGGTTAAGTGAAACATGCCCAGATTTGTTTGTTGATTTCCACACCATAAAAAGTTCACATTTCAATCATATCGTAACAAATTTCATGGAGATTTGTACACATTTGTCATGAAGACTTCATTTATCAATAATTTATATTAACTGAAGTCTTAAACTAGTATGGTTTGGGTCTGGCTAGTTTTTAATCTTAACATTATGCTATTCTTGTAATGCTTGCTTCTTTGAGTTACATGTAAATTAAGAGGTGATGTATTAGCTCAACATACAACAGAGAAAATTGCACATCCCCATTCCTTGGAAGTTAGTTTCTTAGTAATGATAGGTCCTTGTGAGGGCGGAACTCCATCCAAACTGGCTGCAGTTCCCACAGCCAGAGAATTGTAGGGTAATTCCATCTACTCTCACCATTGTTATATGCTACAATTGGATCTAAAGATCTTCATGTGTCTGGCAGAGGATTTCGCGGAACTATAACTTCTTCACAGAGGAGGAAATTGAAGACTTGTGCTCAACATGTGGTCTTACAAACTACTCAAAGAAGGTTCAGCGAACGTTCATAATGTTCTCTGCACAGAAGCCATGAAGCAAGGTTTAGTTCATTTAGACACAGTTCTCCCAGGACTTGACATTGACATATCCGGTGCTGGTTTGGTATACAAGATATTTCAATTGTATAAACTTTTTAAATAAACAAGACCTAAAAGGTGATAACCTGGAGAGATGCAAAGTGCCATTGTTAATAAAAAGAAGTCCATATGTACTGTCTGTTTTATATAGATGATGATTTAACCCCTACTTTGTACTTCAGCAGTGTCACTAATCCCAGGGGACTAGCCTTTCTATTTGTAGATTTTGCTGGGAGTGATCTGAAAGCAGTGCTTCTGAGATAGTCCACAAACACACACGACTGGCACCGAGCCTGTAGAATGCGCTAATAAACTCTATGCTTTCAGCTTTAACTGATGATTAGATAAAATTCACACTTGTTTCAGTCATGAAGTCTGTTTAATCTGTCCGAACTTCTTGCGGGGATTGGAGTTGTCAAGGTGCTCTATGAACAATATGCTAGACATTTCATGTCAACTGTTATGCATCAGTATCGTCCTGCAACACAATTCTTGTGACTCAAACGGAATCATGGTTTTGGACTGATATTTGGGACCTATAATCTATACAGACAGGGCTCATGAACCCGCATGATGTGAGTTTATTAAATGATAAGTCAGGATCTGTTGGCGAGGCTTTGCACATGACGAGTCCTCGAGGATTTGGGCAAAGCAAATATAATAGCCCCCGGGGATGTGGCTGAGCCAATAAAGAAACCCTTTTTAGCAGGGCAAAGTGTGTCTCTGAAGTATCAAATATGGGCAGAGAGAGCCCCTCGTGCGGCTCACAAGCTGACCAGCTTTCTGTGTGTTCTTCTACTACACTGTTTGCCCTAAAGGAACCCATCATTACAGGCCCTGTTCACTTCTGGATCCTTGACCTTTGACCATCCAACAAGATGCACAGCTGGACAGGAAAAATAAGAGAGGAATATTTGATCAGTCCAAGAACAAGGAGACCTCTTAGGGTTTAATCTGGTTTATTTTTCAAAGTTATGACATTGGATCCCTTGCACGTGACCTCCTTTCCTCCTGTAATCCCATTTTGCTTTCCGTGGCACGTGGGGTCGGTCACCCTTTATCTTTCTTTTATTTTTTTTATAATTTTTTCTGCAAATTCTTATTTGTCTTCGTTTCTTCTTTAGAATAATGTTAATCCAATCGGAAAAGCTCACTCAGCAATATTGGATGGGATTTTTTCCAAATAATTTATAAAAAAAAGTCTTTCAATAAAATTAGCTTTTGTTTCTGAAGGAAGAAATGGAGACTGGTTTTGCTAATTGATTTGATTATTACCTGCCACGTGCATTGTCTTACTACAACTCTTAATTATGATTACAGGAGACTAATGAAGATTAATGGGGTTGCTTTTAGCTGTTTCTTGAATTCAAAATACATTTCTCCTGAGTAATTTGAAAAGAGAAAAGGTACAGGGGAAAATGGTTTAAGATGATATCGTGCATCACGTTTCCTGCT